GCTGCACATTGGTGAATGGCCTCACAGTTTGGATTATGCAGTGGATATAGTACTGCTATCAATTTGCAAGTCTTTTATAATCTTTATGAAAGTGAAGGAATCTTACACCGTGCACATGGAAAAGTTATGCAAAACTGTTATAGAAATTTCCTTACCTAACCAATTATGGCTAAGGTAGGGTGTAATAGGACATTACATATATGCTTTGGGCAGCACATGCATGTGAGCTATGAGGACGAATTGTGATATACGCCACATGGGAACTCATTCTTGTAACATAAATATAACATTTTTTAACTTGCGATTGAGCGGGGTGTGTAATCATGCTTAGTGGTGAGTGCAATGGATATGAAATTGAACCTATCATTATTGGCAAACTGCATGACATTTATATTCTTACATTTGTTAAGGAGGATTGTTTTAATCTCTTTTCAGGTTTTGTAAGTATGTATGTCTGGATTAGTCATGATGCTTTGCAAAACCACCAGACATTGGTATTGAATGTGAAAGTCCAGCATGTCATTAACATGTCATCCTATAGTTTGTGTGCACAAGAACAGCTAGACATATGGGACTAACATTAGACATGATTCTGTGACTGAACAGCACTTGCTGTACAACGCAGAGTGTACTAAGAATTACATTAACAGCCAATTTAAGGTTATTGGGCTTACACTGGTTCACCTACACTTTTCAGAAGCTACATCTATTCAAATGCAGAAGCGTGCCCTCTGCAAGCAAAAAGAACATGTCCGGGCATTGTGCCTTTATTTTGAACTAAACAAAACCTTAAGGGGGCATGAGTTCCCTGGTGCATTCTCCATGGCAACACCTAGACCAACCACAGTCAACTTGCCAAACAGGCAGCATCCTTTCTCATGCAGTATAAATTGTTGATCCCTTTGAATTTTGACTTTCCTGTGGCTGTACTGATGTGCGTAAAACTAAAAGCTTCTGGACCTGTTCTGGTCTCTGTTTTGTTTAGCAATAGCAATTTGTGCTATCAAGCAACTGCTGCAATAATAAGCAGCAGTTCTCATTCAAAATATTAACAGCCCTTTCGAACAACTTTTAGATCTTTTTAATCAACCTGTTCAAACATGTTATGACACACCTCTGGACCAGTTGGAACTTGAACCCAAGCCTATCTGGCCCAAAGGTAGGGACATTACCACTGCATCACAACAGCCCTGAAGCAACTTTTAATTGGATGTACTTGAAAGTTAAGAATTTAATTACCTCCTTCATTGAAGGTGGGTGGAGGTAATTTTTTTCTGCCTGTAGCCTGTTTGGCATTTAATAATATATTTAAGAAACTAATTGATGGATTTCATTAAAGCTTAGTATTCGAGTATGGTCCAAGGAAGAACTGATTAGATATTTGGCAAAGATGTGGATCTGGACCTTGGAGTTTCCTTAAAGAATCTGTTAAGATTGGAACATAGGGCAAACTGGCTATGTTTTGAGTTTTGTGGGTTTTTTGATTTTATAACATTGTGATTGACTCAGCATTTGGAATTTGCCATGGTTGTCAAAATATGAGTGCAATTTTCAGAACACGTTGTTGGCCTGAAACCTCCAAGTGACATGGAAGGCCTTCTTCCAAAACAAAATTTCTTCTTTCAGTTTGTAATTATGTAGCATCAGCTTGTCAGGCAAAAGCCACAAGGAAGTACTACGTAATTGTAATAACATTAGAGTTATCAAATTTATGGTGGAGGTATTGTTCTACTGCATGTCCTGTTAACTTGTTGAACTTCTAATCATGATGACCTGTGATCTCATTTATTTGACCTGTGGATCAAATTTATGATGTACTGCAGTAAAACATAAATGATGTATTTTTATTTCCTACTAGTTTGAAGATGTGTAAATGTTTTTTCTTTAATGAACTGGACTTCATCCAGTTTGTCAGCAACCTGTTAATGTAGAACATCCCGAAAATATATCTAACCAGGAACTAGGATAATGGGTTGGTCTTTATAATCTTTGCCTTCAGTGAAATCGGCTAAATTCAGTGTGATAATTCCTGAATGATTTGAGAGACATGGGATCTGTTTACAAGAGTGACTAGTGATGTTGAATCTATGAGAAATATCTCTACTGAGACCTTCAAGTTATAACATGTTTAAGATTGAGAGAAAGAATAGATTGGTGAAGACCTGAGCACTAACTGCTGATCACTTAATCTAGAGGATTTTTAAGAAATCATTGAGCTTTGTTGATACTCCCTTGATATGAAGCACAGGAGGATGCTGCTAATCCAACATGTCTCACCATTTTCTTTGCATTGAGAATTTAGAACAAGAGGCTTCTCAGCTCCTAAGCATGTTCCACCATGAAATTAGATAAGGGCTGTTGGTATGCATGCTTTAACTCCGTTTAATTATCAATGTTCCTTGATACCATTATCTAACAAAGAGCAAGCTATCTTGGCCCTGATAATTTCAGTTGACCAAGCATTTACAGCCTTATGGGAGAGAGTGTTGCACATTTCCACTCCTCTTCCTGATTCCACTCTTAAGTGCCTGTCTTGCTTTTTAATTTTGTGTTCCTTTTTCCTTTCACCAGAAGAAAATAACTTCTCTGTTCTTAATACCCTCTTAACCTTTCCCATCCATAGCATCATTTGGCCATTACAGATTAATTTTTGCTTGAATTTTGTGTACTGTGTTTGATTTTCCTATGTATTTTAGCTTTTCAAGATTTCATTTTATTTTCTGTACTAATCTTAATGAATTCTAGATAATCCGAATCCTTATAATCTCCTGTTGCAACAGATCCCTTTTTGTGCATTCTTTGCTAAATTTTCAATTGGGTTTGTCTGAGCTGGTTCCCTTTTTTGTTAAATAAAAATAGTACTTCCAGACTTTGCCTCCTTCCACCACCTTCCTAACTTTTGTTTCAATTTTTATTACATAAATATGTGTTGGTCAGTGGTTTCTACGTTTTGCACCCTTACAAGTCCTGATGGTTCCACCTTATTTTCTAGGACTGGATCTGGTATGAAGTAGCTCATTCTGACATTTACGACCCAAACTATCTAAAACAAAGTTTTGGACACATTGCAGAATTGCATTTTCCACTTGCATTACTTTTACTTGAGTCTGTTTTTGGTGTAATCAAAGTCTGAATTGATAGATCAAGTCTAAACAATGTTGACATTCTGAGGAAATGATGCTGTGTATAGACATTGGAAAGTCTTGTTGTGTAAAATACTTGAAATTCAACAATCTACTTCAAAGTTCCACAAGAGAGCCTACTGTACAACAAAGCATTGTTGGTGGAACCCAGTGGGAATTAGGAGGTTGTTTTCTTGTTTCTCACCTAAACAAATGATCAGGATTCAGAAATGCAAGTTGATCAAATTTTTGGTGAATTCTGGTAGAAAAGTGAAGAAATTGACAGAATCTAAACCGTTTGCAAGTGAGCAGATCAGTGATAAATGGAATTCAACATAATTTACAGCAAGTTTTATACATTCAAAGAAATGATGTTGAGAGCACACTTAAGTGGATGAGATAGATCTGTAGATATACATATGACACTGGCTATGTCTGGGCATATAAAGGCAACAATTCATGGTGTCATTCTGGTACAGAAGGAGGCCGTTCACCCAATCCGGTCTATGCTGATTCCCTGCAGTGCAAGCCTTTTGGTCCCATTACATTGCTCTGTTCCCACAGCTCCCATAGTTTGTTTTCCTCGGGTTTCCATCAAATTTCCCTTTGAAATTATTGATCATCTGTGCTTCCACTGTTCTTGTAGGCAGCATGTTCATGTTCATGATCATTATCACTTGCTGTATTAAAATCTGATTCCTCTAATCCCCATGCATCTCTTGCCCAAAGTATTAAGTTGCTGATCCATGGTCTTTGTAAATTACTGTTTCTTAATCAACCTTATCAAAGCTTATCACATTCTTGGAAATCTCTATCAAATCTCCTCTCAATCTCTTTTGCTCTGCTGAGAACAGCTCCAACTTTGCTAACCTAACCTTGTTGATAAAATTCCTCATTCTTGGAACTATTTTGATAAATCTCCTCCACAGCTTCTCAACAACTCTCATATCCTTCTGAAATTGTAGCAGTCAGGACTGGAGGCAGTGCTCTAGTTATGGCCTAACTAGAGTTTTATAAAGGATTAAGCATGACTTCCTTGCTTTGATACTCACAACCTTTATTTATGAAGCCCAAGATTCCACAGCTAATTCCTTTGAATATGACCTGCCACCTTCAAACATTTGTGTGCTGGAACCCCAGGTCTCAAGAGCAGGGAATACTGTTGTAATGCTATGTTCTTGGAATATATCACATGTATTCACTGGTGTTTAGACAAATTAATGTAAAAACACAGATTGAATGCTGGAAATGATTTGACAACATAAACCCAAATCTATCAATGCTGACAATGTATTCTGCTGCAGTTAGTGTTCGGTTCTAATTACTGAAGCGCAGGGAAAAATCTGAATTCTAAAAGCAGTATATATCAGAACAGTGAGACTAATCACTACTGTCTGAGATCTGAGTTGTAAAGTAAACTATATCTTCAGTTTGGGAAATGAATTGGAAGTAAGTTGATAGAGCTATTGATTTCCATTGAAGGGTGATATACATGGTCAAATGGCTTCCCTCGTGTGCTTTGTAGCTCTTTGTATCTTGTTCTTGTAATAGCTTAAATTAAAATGCTGAAACCACATTTTTTGTGAGAAGTTATGGCGAGTCCTATTAGTTTAAAGTTTGTAAAAAATAAATTAAGTGGAAATCTGAAAATGTGTCCATTACACAGTGATGATACAAAATAGGAGGGCAAATTCCCATTTTAAAAAATATCCTTTGAGAGAATCTTGCTTATTATTGTTGACTGTATCTTAATATGTAAACGTTTGTGTTTCTTACATTTCTAAAAATGCTTTCATCGACATGAAACATTTACTTTTTTTTAAAGAAGTTTTGGATTAAATGTCAGCTCCATCAATTGCTCTTGATCATTTCTAGGACATGGTAGTTCGAGCTCTCAAGCAGACCAGCAGTCGCAGTATAGAGGCTGCAATTGAATACATCAGTAAGATGAGCTATCAGGATACACGGCGAGAACAGATGGTTGCTGCAGCTGCAAGACCAGTGAATGCAAGTGTGAAAGCATCAGGTATATATTGCTGTAATATTATTTCACCTTTAACCCTTTCAGTGCTAAGGTATAAGTCATGCCTCTGTCCCTAGTTTCTTTCCTGTTGTGGTAGCAACATCCTTTCATGTGTCCAATTTTTGGCAGTTCTAAGGCGTCACTATGATTTGTGTTTGCATTTATGCCACTTGATTAAATATCTTTCTTTGTATGTTATAGTAATGTTTACTTGGTGATTCTGCTGCTTTATTTTACTGTGATATTGTAGGAGAATAGTTCATTTTCATATTTGGTTCTGTTCATTTGTGTCGATCAGGTTAGTCTCAGCCATCTTGCCAGAAGCTCAGTTGGCGTTAGCGCTGTAATTCAAAATACTGTGCAGCGGCAGTCAACTTACCTTTGGTCTCTTTAATGTATTTGTACTTAACTGGAACTTTATTTTTAACTACTTGATCTGGATTACGTAGACAATGTTCACAAGTTTTCTCTAGAGGAGTGGGACTGAACGTGTAAAATATCCAAATGTGGTCTAAAATGATTCAATCCAGCGCTTGAAAGCAAAGGTGTGTTCTACTGTTGTGAAATCTTTGTTCACCTTCCCGCTTTCCCCTTCTGTTATATACATTTACTGAAACCCTGCTAGGGTTGGGTAGGACTAAGCATATCGGGAATAGTCATGGTCAGTTGTTTCCTTCCATGGAGCAAATGTACATCCTGTATTGGTACAAAATTTGCTTGTACCTGAAGGTGGTTGAGCCATGCAGGAGAGCACTCAGATGTTGTGTAGAGGGTTTGCAGGTATATTTGTTTAACAAGATGAATTTCATCTTTTGGTCCAAATGACTTCACTCCAACTGCTTGTTTTAAGAAGGTATTTATTTCAAAATATATTTTTAAACATATTCATCAGGATATTAAGTAGTGAAATCGGCAAGTGCAATTGCATTACCTAGTTTAATTGTTTCAATTTTACCTCATGTCTGAGGGCTTCCCCTTTGCTTGCGCCTCTGGTAGCTCAGCCTAGATACTGTATGTTGTTAAGTTCAAAATCTGTTTCGTGTTGGGCACACAGCCACCATACTAAACTGCTGATGATCAGCATGGGTTGGGTGGAGTTAGGAATGTTGATTCTGCAGAGAAAATGGTTTGATGATCGGTAAACAGGACTTAACACCATGAGTGACCCATTATGCTTTTGTGCTTATCTGTATCTTAATTTATTCCAACAGTTGTAGTTCTGCAATCTTCCTACCTTTGGCTATCAATCCTAGTTTTGAAATTTCAAATAATCTGCTCTGCATTCCCAATATCTTGTTTTCAATGAATATTTCCAGCATTTGCCTTCTTTAAAAACTTTATTCACACCAAAAATTTATAAGTGCCACTTACTTTTCCACAGTTCAGAAGGGAAACTTCGGGGTGGGAGCTAGGTTGTTCCCAGGCCATTACGGTAAATAGTTTACCAATACTTTAGGATTAAGCACAACCAGCTGCTTTTAAACATTTCAAAATATTCAGGTTTTACCAAGCTAGCATATAATTAGCAATTTTTCACAGACAGTATCTACTGTGATAAATTGAATCTATTAAACAATGGTGTAAGATTGAGGTATGCTATAGTAGGTTAGTATAGTTTGTATCTGTATAGCACCTTTTTAATGGAGTAAAGGTAGTTCGTGGAAACATTATCGAACTGAAAAAAGGAAGTGTTAGAACAGGCAAAACAAAAGCTTTATCAAAGAACTACCTCCTAAGGAGGAGGAGAGAAGGAGCAAATTATTGCAGATGCTGGAATCTGAACTCAAAATATAAAATGCTGGAGATCACAGCAGGTCAGGCAGCATCCATGGAGAAAAAGGAAGCTGATGTTTCAAGTCTAGATCGTTCTTCATCAGCACTGAAGTGAAGTGTGGAGGGGGCAGCATTTATGCAATTGTGTGTGTGTGTGTGTGTGTGTGTGTGTGTGTGGAGCGGGGGGGAGGTGGTGGTGGTGTTGGAGTGCTGGGGGAGAAAGGATTTTTGATAGTTCAGATTAAGTGATCAGAATGTGAGAATGACAGAACAATGATGTGTCTAACTGTCAGACTAAAGAACGGATGGTCTGATTGGAGTTGGGGTAGGGGAGAGAGGGAGAGAACGTAGCAAGCAAAGCTAAAAGAAAGGGAAGGAATGGGTTCACAGTTTAAAGATGTTGAATTCAATATTGAGCTCAGAAGGTTGTAAACTGTCCAGTTTGAAGATGAAATGTTGCTCCTCCAGTTTGTGCCGTGATTCGCTGGAGCATTGCAGCATGCTGAGGACAGACAAGTGGGCACACAAGTAAGACGCTGTGTTAAAATGACCAGCTACGCAAAGGTTAGGGTCATGTTTGCACACGGACCGGAGGTGTTCTGCAAAGCAGTCACTCAGTCTGGTTTGGTTTCTCCAATGTAGAGTAGGCCCCATTGGATGTAACGAATACAAGACACCAAATGCAAGGAGGTGCAGGTGAAATGCCGCTTCACTTAGAAAGATTGTTTAGGGCCTTGGATGGTGAGCAGGGAGGAAGTGAAGGGGCAGAATTTACACCATCTGCAGTTGTGTGAAGGAGGGGTGGTGTTGGTGGTAGAGTAATGGACTAGGGTGTCCCGGAGAAGCTTGGGTATGGAATTTCCAAATTAAGGGTTTTAATGTTAGTGGTAGGGCGATGGAAATTGGGTGTAGTCTCAGCCAGAAATGGAGGAATACAGAAATTTTGAGGATTGTCCAATTAAAAATGACAGAAATGGGAAGATTGAGGCCATGGAGCAATTTAAATCAAACATAAAATGTTTTAGATAGATAGTTTTACATCTGGCTGTGCTGTGTATCACTGTGGATTATCTGAATTTAATATTTTCCAGTTATGATTCTCCATGGCGAGTGATCTGCTATTTACCGGAAAATGTAGGTGAACAATATGTTACAATATTGTGAAGTTAACTGAGAGTTTACTATAGGAAGATCAATAATGCGTGCATTTGTAGTAACACATAAATGTCATCTAATCTAACAAAACTTTATCTTGTCTGCATTACTGATATTACTTTATGCTAGCATCATTTTATTTTTCTCATCTTCTTAAACAGCGCCTAGCACGGTTCAGCAAACAATTAACCGGAGGCCAAGCTGGAAGGGTTCAAAAGAATCTTTAGCTGCACAGCGACATGGTCCGTCGTTGATGGAGGGCGTGGGATATCGAGCAGACAGCCCCGTCCCCCAGGTAGAAATGGGTCGGCCGTTGTCATCAAGTTCAGGAATAACTGCGTATACACAGAGCCATCCGGGTAATGGACAGGTGCCTTTGGGAGCAGTGAACACTCAGAGAGCGAACACCCAACCACCACTCCCAGTGAGGAGTGTAACTCCACCACCACCTCCACCCAGAGGACAGACTCCTCCCCCACGTGGCACCACTCCTCCTCCACCCTCCTGGGAGGGGAGCCAGCAGCCAAAACGGTTCTCTGGCAACATGGAATACATGATTACACGAATATCACCTGTGCCACAAGGAGCCTGGCAGGATGGGTTCCCACCAGCCAACCTCAATGCAGCCTCTATAATGAATGCACCACCTCAAGGCCAAAGAGGAATCAGTCCTATTCCACTCGGTAGGCAACCTATTATCATGCAAAATGCCACTTGTAACAAATACAACTACACAGCAAGCCGAACAGGCCACCAGAATGGATCGGCACCACCTGAAGGCTCTGTAGGTGGACACTTTGTGCCACATTCAACTGTTATGGGAGGAAGTGCGGTGAGTCGCCAGCCACCTCCGTATCCTCACTCTCAGTCTAGCAGATTAAGCCCCAGTGCCCTCCAAATGCAAGCTGGTGGGGCTGCTGCTTCCAATTACAGTAGTAATCTGAATGGAAACGTTTCACAGTCTGTCATGGTGTCAAATCGAAACAGCCAGAACATGGATCTTTACAACATCAGTGCACCTACTATTACATCTTCATGGCCACAGCCACCTCCACCTCAGCCCCAGTCTTCAGCTGGTGGACAGGAGATGTCTAACTGGCATCCTGCTCAAAATCTGAATGCACCTGTACGATCCAATTCCTTCAACAATCATCTTCTGTCCAGCCGGCAGCCTCATTCCAACTCCCAGCCATCCGTCACCACAGTGACTGCCATTACACCCGCCCCCATTCTGCAGCCTGTGAAGAGCATCCGTGTACAGAAACCTGAGCTTCAGACAGCACTTGCACCTACTCACCCTCCCTGGATGCAGCAGACAGGGCCTGTGCCCGAGTGTCCCACTCTAACCGAAGCTCCAAGTTATCAGCCTCCACCTCCACCATACCCCAAGCATTTGCTTCAGCAAAACCAGTCTGCATCGCTGTATGATACTGTAGCCAAGGTCAACAAAGATGAGCACACAGCAAAACAGTGCATATTACAGGTGGCTCAGAGCGCAGAAGAGGATGAGCATGATAAGGCTACCGAATATGGTGAACGGTTTGATGCTACAGAGAAGGAAAAAAAACAAATTACAACATCACCTGTCCCAGTGCGGAAAAACAAAAAAGATGAGGAACGTAGAGAGTCACGAATTCAGATATACTCCTCACAAGCCTTCAAATTCTTCATGGAGCAGCACGTGGAGAATGTGCTCAAGTCTCATCAGCAGAGATTGCATCGCAAAAAACAGCTAGAGAATGAAATGTCAAGGGTAAGCTTCTCTTCATAAGGCACTTCATCCATATTGAACATTTTTCAGTTAGGCTCCTACTACTCCTTTTGTTTGCCTTTGTTATGAGTAGCCATGAAGATAGAAATGATGAGGTTGATCACATTTTCACACTTTTCCTTCTTGCTTTGTATGAAGCATACCTCCTGTAGCTAAAACACAGTATTGACAGATAAACAGTTTCAGGCCTGTAAAGCTGATCATTTGGGTATGCATCCAGGTATACAAGGAAAAGAAAATTAAAGGATAACTTTAGGAATTTTTCTATGTTGATCCATGACATTAGCCTCTCCTCAGGGATAGCACTCTTGCCTCTTCAGTTTTTTGCAGAACTGAGTGCCATCTCGGAAGTTTGGGTACATAAAACTAGGCTGCCACCTTAGTGCAGTGCTGCACTTTATTTCAGATCAGATTTTCAACCAAGGCTCAGTTCAGTCTTCATTGGATAGACAAAAGCCCTGGCACTATTCAAAAAAAAAAGCAGGGAAATTCTGTTTCGACTGTAGGTCATTATTTTTAGCTGAAAAATGGTTTATCTGATCATAATAGAATTACGATTTATAGAACTTCTGTTACACTTTTTATTTACGAGAGAAACTACTTTTCAGAATTACTTAATTGGCTGTAAAGCACTGAGGAACATCGTGAGATTGTGAAAGATGCTCTAGGAATTCAATTCATTCTTCTTAGGAAGAGTGGCATTTGTCAGCACTGAAATATAGAGACACCTTTGGTCTTGCCTTAAGGGAGAATGAGAAAAGCTGAATAGTCAGTGAGAAATTAGATGCAGTGCAAAATTAGAAGGGAGAAAAGAATGAAGAGTAGAGCTATTTAGGCAAACTAAGCTGAAACTTAAAATGAAAGCGTATGATCAAATGAGGATCAGCGAGACTAAAGAAAATCATGAATGTAAAAATTGAAACTAGAGATTTAAAGGTTATTAAATGTTAAACATGCAATGATGGAGGTGGATCAGTTATTGAAGGTAAATGTAGTAAAGGGAATGCTGGAAAGAAATTGGTAGACTTGAAGTGGATATAAGGTCACCAGGTCTTGAGGAAATACATCCTAGCCCATTAACATAATTTTGATTAATGCTGGCTACAATATTCAATCCTGTAATTGTAATTTGTGCCATTGGACTAAGGACAGCTAATATAATGCCTTTTTCTTCTTGAAGGAGGAAGAATTATGAGCTACTCTCCATTTTGACAAATATTGGAATAATTTAAGATAAAATTAATGAGTATTTTGAATTCAGTGGGTTAATTGAGCACTACCATTATGGGTTAGTTAAATATAAGACCATCCAATACTAATGTACCTTTTAATGGAAAACTGAAGGAAGTATTTGAAGCAGAGGAGGGTACAGGGCATTAGGTTTAAAGTTCGAGCAAAAAGTTGGCATAGACATGATGAAACAGGTGGCCATTTTTGTGTTATGAACCCTTTGTGGTTAATCTTTTTTTATTGATGGTAGTTAAAGAAGAAATTCTGGTACAAGAACACACAATGCAGCAGTCCCTCACTACAGCATTGGTCTGTATTTTATGGTCAAGTCCTAGGAGAATGAACATGATGCTAGTTGAGCTAAACTAACACTCAAACTAGGTACACGATACAAATTTATAACAAATGCATTAAAAACTAAATCATTCAGGCAAACTGTTGCAACTTACCATTGGAATTTATCAACGCCTATAGAAAATTATCTAATTATTTTCTGTGACATGAGCCCTACCAAATAGCAAAGATCAGTGGCACCACTTTTGTGCCCTTTTCATAGTATTTTCTTTGTGGTTTCCTTGCTCATATTTGCTTAGTTTCAAACCCATGTAAGGTTTCTTTCCATTGGTATTTCTAATGATATTTTGTGCATGCATTCTCTATTAGTGTTGGTTAAAGAAAGCTGGAATAGATTCTTAACAATGACTCACTCTCCTGAGCACTGTCCTAGCTCCTTTTACACATCCTACTTGAATCCCAGTTCTCAAATGACCATTTTATGATGCTGTTCTCTCATAGTTTAATGCTCGTTGATATTATATTTCCTCCAGTGGCTTTTCCTGTGTCCTCTTGATCCCCAAATACTTTGACTTGTATCCTTAGCCCTCTCCTCAGATGTATCTTTGCATGTGGCATCCACGACTTCTGTACTTCTGTCATTGAATACATCACTATTAATTGTTTCATCAACTGCCTGTCTGGTACAAAGATCTAGATGAATCCAGTTCAATAGCATTAAATTCAGAGCAGCCACCTTAGCTCTGTCCAACATTTTGAGCTCCGCAAGCACCATTCCAAATGCAGTTGATGGGTCTGGCAACTATGTACGACGAGCACTGTAAAGTCTTGTCACTTTATTCATGTGCCATTTTATAAAACTACAGCTACAAAAATCGACTCCAACTCTAAAGCATGCCCTGCAGGGTTGTTGAAGTGGATTTACTTATAACATTGGAAATGGAATTGAATATATATTTGAAAAATGCCAAGTTTGTAGGGCTGCAGATAAAGTGTAGAGGAGTGAGTCAAATTTAAGATTTCTTCAAACAGCTACAGCGGGCCTGATGAGCCTAAATACCTATTTTGCTGTTAAATTCTCTTTTAACGCCATTTAATTGTTCTTGGCAGTAATGGATTTTTTTTTTTAGCAGATGTGTCCTGCAACTGTGATTTTCTTGCTTGTCCTTTGGAGTTGCAGTGTTGTGTGGAGGATGTATATTGGTGAATTAAAGTTGATCTCGTAGTTTATAATTTTTTCCACACTGCCTGCGTACTAAGGGTTGTACTTTCAGACCTTGCAGGGTGTACATGTTAGTGTCATGCTCCTCTTCTAGAGGCGGTGTCACAGCCATTAGTTATGTGTGCTATATTTTGCATTTTAGTTGTAATCTAGGAGTGTGCTGATAATCTGGGGTGGCACAGTGGCTCAGTGGTTAGCACTGCTGCCTCAGCTCCAGAGACCCGGGTTCGATTCCAACCTCGGGTGACTGTGTGGAGTTTGCACATTTCTCCCCAAGTTTGCATGGGTTTCTGCTGGGTGCTCCGGTTTCCTCCCACAGTCCAGTGATTTGCAAGTTAGGTGGATTGGCTATCCTAAATTGCCCATAGTGTTCAGGCATGTGTAACTTAGGTGCATTAGCCATGGGAAATGCAGGGTTACAGGGATAGGGTAGGGGGATGGGTCTTGGTGGGATGCTCTTCAGAGGGTCGGCATGGACTTGTTAGGCTGACTGGCCTGTTTCCACACTGTGGGGATTCTATGATCTTGTACAGTATGTCTTCTTAATAGTTTCCCAGACCACATTAATTCCAAGAACATTTGTAGTACATCTTCCAAAAAATGAAGACATGACTAAGGATTCATTCTTGGTGCAGGTCTAATTAGGTCCTCATTTTATAGAGTGATTGGGAGGTAATTTGTTCAATTTGGGACATAACAGCTCATACTTGATCAGTTAAATAGTGCATAGCGAACTAAATAACATATCGATCATTTAAACTTGTTCTTCTAAATGGTATCAGCCTTGATTCAGTGACAACACATTATTCTCAGAGTGTGACTTTTCAATCTCACTTAATAGATTTGGGCACATAATCTAGACTTTGTGGAGCCCAGCAATGCTGGAGGTGCCATCTTTCAGATGAGAACTTCTTTAAATTTTACGTTAAACTGTAGTTCTGTCTCAGGTTGATTTGAAAGACCCATTAGCATTATTTAAAGAATACAGACCATTCTCCCAGGTGTCTTGACCAATATCCAGATATCACCACCAAAAACAGATTATCTACTCATTATCGTAATGTTGTTTCTGGTATCTTGCATTGCAATACTGATTGAAATTCATTAATTGAGATCCAATTTAGGACAGTCTGAAGTTGTTATGTATGTAATTTACAGTCATTCCGCCATGTCCACGCAGGTTCCACTCCTGAGAACCCCTGCAAATGATGAAATCTGAGAGTCCTGAGCTCATTTCAAAATAGGTTAAAAATCACGAATGCACAATTTCTGCCTGCAGATGTTGACTTTTGTTGATAATTATTTTTAATGTAGATAGGCAAATTTGTGATTTTGTGGATACCAAGGATTTAATGTAAATACTTCCTATTATTGAACTTAAATTGTATTGTTTGTTTGTCATTTACCAACAAATCACAACCCTGATTTTAATAAAAGATAGTAGGAACTGCAGATGCTGGAGAATCTGAGATAACAAGGTGTAGAGCTGGATGAGC